CCCACAGACCAGACAACTCAGTGGTACTTCCCCATGCTCCATTCCCCCCAACAGTATCAATCTTGTGATGTACTGTTTTCAGAGACAAGATCCTGATGACTAAGCCATTGCATTATAATGCTTAAATCTCTTTCAGAGGTGGAAGGCCACTACCAAACTTTTGGTGAAGTTAAGGTTAAATTTTTTATTTTACTCCTTTAGTTATTTATTTGAAAAAAATCTGTCACTCTCGTTTAATTATAAAGAAGTAATGACAAGAGAGTGCGCACTTTTGTTTGCTCTCACAGGTGCTTGTTGTTTCCAGAATAACTTCATTCAATTTGTTCTAACACTGATATGTTGTCTTCTGTTACAGGTCAGATGAGTGTAGCACAGCCCTTTACATGGGGGGATGAAATTTCTTTACTGGATCCTGATCCAGAGCTACCCGACCTGAAATTGCCATCAATAGAGAAATGGATAGGCGAGACCAGTGCTGAAAAATTGACAGTGGCAAGCTCACTGGAGAAGCCAGTGTTTGAAAAGACAGAAATTGATAAGTCAAATTTATATGGGAATGAGACTCAGAGTCCAGCATTGGATGCTATGGAAGTTGTTAATGACAATTATGATGATGATGATGATGGTGATGAAGACGATGATGATGGCAGTAGTATTGTGGAGGAGAACCAATCTGATTATTCCAGTATCAGGATTGGGAAGATTCAAGGTAAGAGTCTACAGAAAATAGGGAAGACTGCCACAAGCAGGGACGTGATCAAAGTAGGGCAGGAGCATAACCCTTGTAGGAAGTTAATGCTTCATAAATCAGAGGGCATTTTGTTAGTAGGCAGACCTGTTGTCAGGTGGCTTGATTCAGTTGAAGAAGCTTTGGAGGCAGTGGGCATTAGAAATTTGAGATGAAAGACACAGGATCACAGCTAGTGGAAAGCAGTCATAAAAGAATCCAAGGTTTATCCATGGACTGTAGCACCTGTGGAAGAAGTCATAAGCAAGACAAAAAAAGTCATTGACCTGCTCACCTGGAATAAATTAATATTGTGAGATGGAAGCCAGGCATTCGTTGTAGTTTTTTATGGTAACTGACTTTAAGTTTTTCTAACTTCTAGAAATTAATATTTTTATGTTCAAAGCACCTTTCTAACTACCTTCTCAGCTTCAGAGTGGCCAGATTAAACGTGACTTAATTGTGCATATCAAACACATTACAGAACTTTTAAAGAATTAAGTTGACATATTTTATTGTTTTGTGTTTTTATATTGAGAGAGAATGTCAGGCATCTCCCAGTAGCAACATAAAATATATAATTTTCCCATCATTAGAAGTTTTGAGCTCATAATAAACTACATAACAAATTTGAAAAAAGAAATATAAATCCATGTTAAACAAAAAGCTCAGCACCCAAGCACAAAGTGACACACCTGATGGTGACCCAGTAAGGGTTGGAACATGTCATGTTAACATTTTAATATAAAGAACCTGTGTTAGTATTTTTGTGCGATTTGTCGTGTCGACGGATATAAATATGCCCATTTTGAATGACACACAACAGGATGCAACACATAAAAATTCATTTGTGAATTTTGAAACCAAAGAGCAGTCGCGGTGGGTGCACATACATTCACCAAACAATCTAAAAAAGTTTAAACAAATGTCTGCCACGAAGCTGATGGCAGCTGTTTTCTGGGACAGGAAAAGAGTGCTGATGATGGAAGTCATGCAACAAGGGACCACAGTAACATCAGAAGTGTATTGCAAAATGCTAAAGAAACTGCATAGGGATGGCTATTCAGAAAAAAAAGGTGCAGAATGCTGACATACAGTGTGGTGCTTGCCCATGACAGTGCATGTCTGCATACAGCTGCTCACACTTGAGCACTGCTGGAGCATTTCAGCTGGGAGTTGATTATCATCCTAACAGCCCTGATCTCACTCCGACCAACTACCACCTATTTTCCTACCTGAAAAATTGGTTGGAATCACAACAATTCAACAATATTGAGGATTTGATGAAAGATGTCAAAATGTGGCTTAGCTCACAGGCGGCAGACTTCTTTGACACAAGCATACAAGAACTTATTCCCTTATATGGAAAGTTGTCTCAATTCCAGCAGTGACTCCATTGACAAGTAGCTTAAGTATGTACATATTTTCTTATGCATAATAACTTTTTTTTAATGGCTGACTGGAAGTTACTTTCCACATAGCCCTCATATGTTCTGTGGACCTAAAGGCTTGAATTTGTAACAAGTCAAAGCATGGTTAAGTCAATACATTTCAAAACTGGAACTTAGAAACATGTAAAGTACAAATACAATATGGTACAAAACAATACAATTAAAACAGAATTTTAGAAACAGTCCTGGGTACAGTATGTTTATGGATGAAACTTTGTATGATGGTCTCACTAGTCTATATACAGCAAGGTTGTGATTAATGCAATATTTCATTTAGTATGAATTGTACAATGTTACGAGGTCTTGTTTAATGTGAACCAGAATTCAGTTAATGTGAGGCCAGCACATGTGCAGTTGATCTTACTGTTAGGGTTTTAGATGCTGCAGGTGGTAGTGATTTTGAAAAAGAAACTGTTATAGAAGAAATAACAAATATCGGAAGTGAACTTGGATTTGATGGCCTATGAAATGACAATGTTCAGGAACTGCTCAGTTCACGCTGGAAATTTACTGATGAACTTTTACATTTAGATCAACACAGAGCATTTGGAGAAGCAAACAAAGATGCCAAAGAATGAGATAATGTGCAATTGAAGGAGTTTACTCTCAAGCAATTTGAAGATATCTTTAGAGCTGTAGAAGTCATGAAGCAAAGAATTATGGCTGGTGGCCCTAACCTCAATTGAAGCATGCAAATGCATTGAGATGTGGACGAAGTGCTCTGTGTCTAACAGCATATGTATGAAGATTTAAAGAAAGAGAAAACAGTTCAGTCCGTTTTGCTAAAATATTTTGAAAGGCAATAATGATGTTTTCATGATTTTAAGCTTACCTTTAGGAAAAATATTTAGAATTTCTTTGTTTTTATTTTGCTCTCTGTAACTACTGTATGACTTGTTAATAATAAATTAAAGTATATTATTTTTATCCTTTACTATAATATATCATTAATAAACATGCAAAAACTTACGTTTACATTTTATTTTGTCATTGTTTCAGATAATGAAGATATAGGCCCACAGAGTCCCACAAGAGGTACAACTCCGAAACATCCATTAGTGGCCGCCATAACACCTCAACTTTCATCTCAGAGCGATGATGTCAGAGATGAAGAAGGAAGTCTCATTATGTCATCTCCATCACCAGTAGCTTCCCAGGGTTGTTCTGTGCCTTTTCAAGTGTGTGATGTTGGATCATTCACAGATGCTGCTGTTCCTCTTGTGTACTGTTCTAGACATCTGGCTGCTTCTTTCCTACTGACAGGATGTGCTGGCTTCACAATCACTGACAGTAATGTCAGGGTCAGTGTGAAGGCACTTGCTCTCAGCTGCATAGCCAACATTCTCCGTCTTTCCCCCAGTATTATATTTCTCAGCGTAGACAAGAATAAGGAACCCACTGGAATACAAGATGGTAATAAAATACATACTTCAGTCCATTAAAGTTGGTGGGCTTAACACATTGAGGGCTGGTAATTTGGTTGCCCAGTGCATCTGTTGTTTCTAGCCACTTTCTAAGATGAAACAGTATTTTGCAAAAGCATTCATGACTCTTTGACTAATCCTCATACTTGGATGATTTGAAGACTGGAGTGTATAGGAATGTTCAGCAAGCATTCATTGCTAATTATATTTACAGTACTTGTATTGTTGTCAGTGTCTTCACTCTTGCTAAAATATAATCTTTATCTGACATTGTGTTCGCACAGACAGACGCTCTGTTATTACATCTACCATAGATGATCTTTCATTACTAACCAAAACATTTATACTATTATTATAGGCATATCACTATATTCATGAAAGATAGATCCTGGGGTAATTGCATGTAGGAGATAATTCATGAAGAAGGTTACCGTCTCAATAAATATATGTATGTATCACTAATTCAGTAGCATGATGCTGGGAACCAGATCTTAGCTTGGGATTATTGACTAGTAATAGAACTGAAAGAAAGTGGGTGTCCTTGGAACTGTGCCTGCTAAAATGTTCTGCTGAAAAGTATATTCATTGCTGAATTTGTGTATTTATGAATATGTATGCATTTTACTTTTCTCTTCAGACACTGTTCTCATGTTGCCTGATCCAAGCAGGTGTGTCACCATGATTCCATTGTAGTATGTTATTGTTGATGCTTCCCAGCTTCCATTTACAATTTTATCTCACAGTTCCTCAACAGTTTGTAGCTCCTTTGTGCAAAGATGAGAGAAAATTGTCAATGTGAAATCTGTAGCTTACACTTTCTGCTTTCCTTGTGAGACTTTTTATTATTTCATATTTAGCTACCATCAGGCCTCTTGCATTTTGTCTGTCCTTTACCACTTATACAGTCATGTTGTTAGCATAGCTGTTCCTGTCCCAAGTCTATCCCCCATCACTCCCTCTCCTCAAGTACAACCATATGAGAAAACATTTCTTTCACTTAACTTTTTGGCTAGTATAATGAGAGTAGCAGATATTTTTGTCTTAATGCTATCTCATTCAGGTGATACTATCACAGAGTTAACAAGTCACAGCAGGAATGCACAGTGGACATATGTATAAACCAGTAGAGAAAAGTAATTAGTGTCATAGCTGCTTTATGTTGGTTCCAAATGAAGGGGTAAAGCCACACTATATTCTTACATGCAGGCAACTGGATTTGCAAGTGTGCCATCATAATGGTGCAATGCATAACCCAGAAATGTTAATGAATTATTCATTTCTCTGCCCACAGCTTTTGCACTGTTACTTAACATTATTCACATTTTGTGCCCTTGGGGGGGGGGATAGTAGTTGCACAGAAAATACAAAATAAGATACTGTATTAATGTCAAAACTATACTACATCTATACCACGGAGCTCCAAGCAGTTAATTACATGTATACAAGTCTAGAATATACCATTATATCCGCGGGAATATAACAAAATTGCAACAACTGACTTGATGATATGGAATATCACATGAAGAGTTTTTAACCTTATTTTACACCATAACTTTCGTTTTTATAATAAGTTTATAGTTCATTGTATTTTTATGCCTTATATTAATTATCAAGTATCCAGCTTCACTATCGGAATTGCAGTTCAGTGGTGTGTATATGGTAATCATGTGTTTGCCTGGTGATGGCTTTATGAGCTGAAACATGTAGCTGAGCTAATTTTAGCCTTGACCATTGTATTGCTATGTTGTGACGGACTCTAATAAAGAATTGTATATAATAGCACAACAGGATGCACGAAATGAAAATTGTACTATAACCCTCAAGACAGAAAATGTTGAAATTAAGAATCTATGGCATGTAGGACAGATCAATTATAAAACAGAGTATCTTCTGCTGACAATAATTCAAACAAAAATGTAAGCATAATGCATATTATTATGTAGTATTTTGCTGGTAGGCTAAAGGCAGAGACTTGGGCAGGATGCAGTAATGCATCTGTAATGGTTTTTAAGGACTGCCGTAACTTGAATGTTTAAACAGTTTACATGTAGAGAACTTTAAAACTCCCCTTCTTTCATGCAGAAGTTACATTCTGAAATTTTACCTATTCTATACGCATACATTTTCACCCTAGAACATTCATATTGTATTTACATTAGAGTTCTGTTTCTTTTCAGTACATGGCTCAAATGGTGTTCAGACTTTGAGTGATGTGTTATTGTTTGCAAGTCATCCAGATCCACAACTTCGTGGCATCACTAGCACTGTCATTGGCTGTTTACTTCAGTCAGCTTTAATACAGTCTGGTGGCAACTTTCGCAAATGGGTGGAAACGGAGTGCAAGCGGAATTTTGGTGCAAGTGAAATTTCAGTCCCAGAATTAACGAAACTGTTGCTTAAAGTAAGTCTAACACTTTGGGAAGTGACTGTTATAAGGATGTCTGTTCTTGATATAAAGTGAGTAAAACCATGTAAATGGTGGTGTGAACATTAACCATTAAGTAATTGAATTTAAGTTTTCTCTCCTTCTAACCTCCATACGATGAAGGTGTATAGAGGGCACAGTCTTAGCTCTGCTTATACTAATTGTTGGAACCGTGTGCTGTGTGATCAGCCTGACACTTTGGTAGCTTTACCCTTTGGGGAAGCACCCATTATATTTGTTGCAGTAATTTTGTGCAAAGGATGCATAAAAAGGTGTTCTTACCAATGTTTGGTGTAGATGTTACAGATTAAAACATATACAGTTCTGTTTTTAATTTTTCTTATTATTTTAGGGTTTGGAAGACAAATCATCTGTGTGCTGCCGTCAGACACTTTTAGCAGTGAGTCTTTGCCTGCCTGAGCTTTTGGAAAGTGCAGAGAGTCAGTCTGCTGCAGCCATACTGAGGGCTTTGCCTCTTTTAGTGAATAATTCATATTGGTTGGTGAAGGTGAGTTATAACAACTGGAGACTTCAATGTGATGTAGAATTGTACTGATCAAATCACATTCTGTCAGTGGTTCTAGTCACGTATTTATGTCCCAGGCTTGGGAGCAAGATTTGGCATATCATTCTGGCAGTTGATCATTGTTATCCTGAAGAGGCAACTTCAGGAAAGTTCAAGTACCGTTTTTCACACTAACATAACATTAGCCATAGTCAGTGAATCAGTGTATAATTAAGGAGTGAGGAAGTTTCAAAAGAAAATGGTGTGTTGACTGATTTAGAAGTTCAGGCTCTGAGACATAACAGTTCTGTGTGTTGGCTAGATCAAGGAGCTTATAGATTCTGCTTTGATTCCCCACAATTTTAGGAAGGTAGGCTTTGGTCCTGGAAATCTGGGGAAGCTAACTGAGGATGTGGAACCAGTTAGCAATACGACCTTGGAATATCTACAAAAAATCTGGATTTTTCTTGTTTTTAGTAAAAAGTAAAGCTATCCCTGTACCAGGCTATGAAGGCACATAGGGTTGTGAGATGTTGAGGGTCCCACATTATCTAGACAATCGGCTCAAGGTTGTCAACCTCACACGCCGAAGCAGGAAGGATATCAGTGATAAAATGGACCTAGTTTAGAAAGATGCTGGAGATGTTAACCCTTCAAAGCGGGGCTGTTAATCGCCAAGCTGTAGCACGATGTGGGACCAGTATTTAAGGATTTTTAATTTTACTCAAGGAGGGTTAAAAATGACATGAAATTTGAACTGAAATAACTTTCATTGTTTCCTTTCAACTGGAATGAAATTGGGAATGCCAGTTCACTCTACACTCTAGATTACACACACACACACACACACACGTGCACACATTATATGTTACTTCAGAAAAATTTTTCTTTATGTTTTAGGCCTCAGAATGCTCATCAGGACACAGAGCAACATCACACTCCTAACAAGAAACTCCTGGCTTTCTGCTGAACACACGCTGTCTTGTCATTTAAGATTTCTTTTCTGTGGGAGGGACCCTTCAAATAAAATGTTGTTCTTTACATCTCTTCATTGTTGTCTTCAGGGGGGCATGCAGTAGCATAGTGGTTGAGGAGCTACGCTACAAGCCAGAAGGTCATGGGTTCAAGTCCCGATGAGGTCATTGGATTTTTTTTCAGTTGACCTAATCCTTCCAGCCCTGGAATTTACTCAGCCTCTAACAGAAATGGGTACCAGGAATTAATTAAATAATTTTCCTGGGGAGTAAAGCGTGGTTGGCGCGTAAGGCTGACAACCTTACCGCCATCTTTGAGCTGATTGTCTAGATGATGTGGGACCCTCAACGTCTCACAACCCTATGGGCCTTCATGGCCTGGTACAGGGATAGCTTTACTTACTTTTCATTGCTGTCTTCATCTTGTCCACCTGTCGCTTCACACTGCATGGAATACATCACCAGAAACCCTTCAATCAAGTCTAGTCTGAATTTCAAATGGTCAACTTTCTGACCAAAATTTTTGCTACAGATGAGGAAATTGGGAGCTGTGGAGTTGAGTTGCCTTTCTGAACAATTTCATATACCACTTATTCATCTTCTTTCCCTCCACTTCAAGCCATCCAGACATATGAGTGAAAGACTGCGCTTATGACTGCAGCATAGCCATACCTACTACTTGACCCTATGGCTATGTATTGAAATTCCTACTCATATGACACCAGAATACTGTGAATCCCCGACATGTCTACAATATATTTACAAGGATGATGAACAAAGAAGCTATTTGCAGAATTACATACAGCAAGCAGCGTTGTTAAAAAGACCATGAGATGGAAGCACAAATCACATTGTGAACCAGCTAATGACAGAACACTGAACACTGCAGCTACCAAAAAAGTAAAATGAAATCAAGGAAGATGAATCAGTTTTTATGTCCAGGGACGGCCTGTGTATTAGCTACAAATAGCTAACAGAATCACTTCAGTTGGCTGTCTAGAGCACACTTGTTCAGATTCCATAAAAATTATTTCCATGAAAGTTGGTGGTTTTTAGTGCATGACAGTGACAAAGGAGATAATTTGTTTTGCACATATTGGAAGACCATTTCTTTACCTACAAAAAGAAACACCAGATTGACTGTGGTAGTTCTAAAACTCATCATAATACACAGTAACAAATTTAATGCTCCATGGTTTATGCCAACCGTCCTACAGTGTATACACTTTTTCACCTTATTCTTCACTTCCACACTACATGTTTCAGCACTAATATGCCATCCTCAGGTGTCTTTATGCACGTTAAACTATTGTACTGCATGCCATGATGTCTTCATTCTAAAATGACTAAAATCTGTATTCGTCATATATGTCGATGAATTCTAAATAATAAAACTTTTCAGGATTCATCCTACGTCGCACTCAAACGCGAATTACGCCAATCCTCTTTTATGTGAGCATTCTTCCTACATACATTTGTGTATCGTGTTCTGTGTTGTGTTTTGCTCCTGTTACTGCATGTGTTGTACTGCTGGATATGTGTATGTGTTAGCATAAACCATGGACATGAATCAGTGTAACAGGACGCTAAAATATAACAAATTTAATGCTGCAAGCTGCAAGTTAACTTGTCATTTCAAGGCATGCAATGTGGGAAGAACACAAAACATACTCAGTACCCTTTATTAAAAAGTTATTCTTTTTTATTGCTAGTTGGGTGGGACTAAGTCCCTTGTACTCCACTTCTGGCCTATTGTACCAGCCCCAGATGATAAGTGAGGGTGAATGTAAAGCAATTGGTGGAATGAAGATTGGCAGGGGAAACCGCAGTACTCAGAGAAAACCACCTATTAAAAGGTTAAGAAGACAATATCATTACTCAAACTCCGACATGTTCTGAGATTTGAATAAAGTGAGGGGAAGTTCATAGAGTGCACTACTTCATATGTACCTGAGTACTTGTAGAGGACTTTTGTACTGGTAATTACATTCTTCAGCAAATTGGAAAAGACTACAAGCCAGGTGTGTTATAGAATTTTGTCAGGTTAACTATAATCTCTTACAGTGTTACACTTTAATTCTATTAATATGCAGTATAGTATGTGTGTGATTTCAAACATACGGCAGTGAATTAAGAATGGAAGAAACTTAAATGGTCAACATCTTTCGACTGCTAATGTTTAACAGATACTGATGATATTTTTGTTCAGATACATATTCATATTTTTTGTTTTTGGCAATCCATATATATATATATAATTGTGATTATATACCCATGTAATTAGTCATCTCTGTATTTTGTAATTTGTAAATAAAATCCATTTTGTCAAAATATATTTTAGTCTTCTCCATGTCACTAATTATTCCTTAAAGAATAAATCAATAGAATTTTAATTTCAACTTTCAACTTCATCACCACACACTTCCTCACAAAATAAGTTACAAATTTCAGCCATGCAACAAACTCTTCCTTGTCTGTTTCCTCTGCTACAGCAAATTTGTATGGCTTTAAATGAAGTAGCTTTGTCATCCTTTGCACTGTGACACTTCTTAATATTTTTGTTTCTAGTATTGGTTTCAACAGTAACCAGTATGTGCTTTGTCGTACTTTCTACTTCACAAAGAAAAGAACACACTTCTTTGTTGTGCAGTTCTTACAATGTGAGAATGGCCTCGTGAGTGACAGGCTCAATTGGAAATTAGTTGATTACAATGTGATAACATGCTAACACTGCCATGTAGGTTCTAGGATTTGTCAGACTCCTTATCTTATGAATTTATGTTTTATTTTCTTTATCCAGGTGAAGCTGGTGGAAGTGGTGGGTGAGTTGTCTTATGTTACAATCTACCACGTGATGGGCAACTCTGACTTCCAAGAGAAAGTGGTTAGTTCCATAGCATTTGTGTTCCTGAAGGATGAAGATGTCAGAGTGAGACATGCTGCAGCTAAAGCAATTGTAAGGTAAGTGTCTATTGGTGTAATGTTATGGAGGGCTGATTTTCTAATATTCTCGAGAACTTGGCTGTCACTATCATTATGATGTAAATAGGTTCTATGAAACACAGACAAACTAGCCCACCACAAACAAAGTCATCAGTTATTAGAATGGTAACAGGAAGAATTATAAAATTAGTATTGTCATGTAACTATTAAATCATTGTCCATTTCATGGTAAAGGCACAATAAATATGTTTCTGCTGTAACAGTAACCATGCAATAGCAGAAGAAGTGTTGGAAGCAGTTTTTTTATATGGTCTGTGCTGAGGTTATATAAGGTAAACTAACAGGAGTTTTTGGGAGTTGAGAATGTGAGAGACTTGCAGTCATGAGTTAGTTGTGAGGGGGTCCCCAACCAGCGAGGACAGGAGCCGTTGAGTCCAGAAGCTGTAGAAAGAATCCGTGTTGTCAAAAGTCACTACCAAGTAATGGGAATATGAAGACATAACAAACTGAGAAGATTTTGTGTGTGCTATAGTGAGAAGTCAAGTGTATGAATTAGCAAGAGCATCATAATTGCTTCTAGCTACAATTTTTAAGTGTTCAATAAATCCAGTTACCAATCTAAGCTCCATGTCTAGTCATTAACATGTGACAATATGTAACATGCATTTTTCAATTGTAATTTGGATCATAATATATAAATATTTGGGATATATACTGTGTACTGCTTTTACCTACATATAAGGTCCCTTTCCTGATGATGGAGGTAGTGTGTTCACCTGAAATGTTGGTATTCACCTGCTGGACTATAGAGAGTTGTAACCCAGAAACCCAGGATACAGAAAACCCTTACTTAAACGGGAAAGTGTTCGCTTCCATTGGCGTTAACATTATTAGCTAATCATATTGTATAATTAGTGATTTAAGTTGCTGGAACACCTGTATGAAAATCATGCGATGTGAAAGGTTATAGTAAATTCACATCCATATTGACTCTGATTCTTATTTTATTACTCCATGTTATGTGATATTTTTAGATGTGCACTGTAATCATTATTTCTATGTCCGGTTGCTTAACCACTACACCAGTAGATGTAGAGCTCTAAGCTAAACCTTAGCACTAGATTGGTCAGCCTCAGACTCCAGCTGCTTTACCACTGGGGAAGCAGCCCTCAGTACCCACTGAAAATGGTGCTAGGGTGTCAGCGCACATGGTAAGAGGCAAATTACTGACCATGCTAAGAATCAAACCCCTATTACTGATTTGTTATAATGTAAAGTAAAGAGTTATAATACGATATTGTAGACTGTATTATGAGCATATTCTTTTTAAAATAGTTTGATTATTCACTTCTTAATTGCTTGCCATTTTGTTCTCTTTGTTATGCAGACTTGTTCCAAAGCTGTTCTTCCCTTTGGACCACCCACAACAGGATGCAGCAACAGTGAAAGGAGCGGGCTACAGTGAACAGTTTCTGTCTGAAATGTTGGCACCTTCAAGTGATTCTAGTGGTTCATCTGCTTTCCTGCAGCTTACAAATATCAATAGTCTGCCGGCTCCGTTCAGTATTTACTCCCCTTATGCATTGTCTGGAAACTTAAATGGCTGTTATCATCAAAACATCGACACAGCTCTCTCTAGAATTGTGTCCCTTTTGTCCCATTCTTTACTTATGTCTTCCAGCAAATATCTCACAGTAAGTTTCATTCATAATGTTTGAAATTACATGACTCATTTCGCCAAACATCATGGTTGAGTGGGTAGTATGTTCAGGAACTCTTGGATTCAGATCTTGAAATCTCAGCTCAGAGACCGCATATCCTGACTGAGATCTTACTGCAGTTCTCCATCATTTAATACATATTATCACATTTCTTAGTGACTATAGAAGGTTTTGGATTGGTAATTGGATTTATTGAACTCTTACAAATCCGTGACTCTAAGTAATTATAACCATTTCACTAATTCACACACTTTACGGTTCACTAAAGCACACGCTTAAGTCTTCTCAGTCTGCTTTATCTTCACCATTCTCCTGATAATGGCTTCCAACATGAGACATTCCTCTTCCTGTGGGTTGCCTCAGCTAACAGCAACAACTCACAGCGACTGTACCATACCAGTCCTCAAGCTAGTGATATTCAACCTTTTTTTGTCTGCTTACCCCCAGATCTAATTTCTTCTCAACTTTTTATCCCCAGAGTTGTTGGTGTATAATTGAAGTTATACAGTCTATAATCTACACCTAAAATAAATTAAATAAATTACACCTGAAATAATGTATTAAATAGTAAGTTTAAAATGAGAAAAAGGAGAATCAAGTTATTAAATAACAAATATAGTATTGTCTATCATATAAAAATGAATAAAGGAACTAAGGTATTTTAGCAAAGCAAAATTATGTGGTTAAATATTTTATCAATTATTAATGTGGTTCTGACCTGTTAATGAGATGACTTAGCTTGTTTCTGGCACTCCAGCACCTCAATTCGGGGAAGAATTTTAATTTTACGTACCAAATATGTTGTCTTTGCCTATGCCAGGTTGAAGATGGTTGCTCTAAGTAACTCACTAACTCAGTTGGTTATGTTATATTTTAGCATCCTGTTGCACTGATTTAAGTCCATGATTTATATCACCGTCTTCTAGTGCATACACTTAACTCAATCAAAACGAAGACAGCACACACACACACATACCCAGCAGGCCCAGCATTATAACACATGCAGTCACAGGAGCAAGACACAACATAAAGCACAATACACACACGAAAATAGAAAGAGTGCTCTGACAGAAGAGGATAGATGTGACTCGAGTAGTGAGATACGACGTAGGAAAAATCCTGAACAATTTTAATATTTTTAATATTTGATATTTATCAATATATATGATAAATATATATTTTAATTATTTTAATATGAAGACGACAAGGCATGCGGTGAACTAGTTTAACGTTAATCGAATAAGCACCTGAAGATGGCACTTTTGTGCCGAAACATGTAGTGCGAGAGAGAG